CTGAGTCTTTCCCTGGCCATCTCAAGGCTGGAGAGATCGCTGAGATGGTACTCATAAGACCTGAGACCACTCAGGAGGAGCTGAACTCCTCCTCTGTCTTGACGAGAACGTCCTGGAAAGACATGAACAAGCAGCGTCAGGCGCGCTTGGGTTCTGAGATTCTCAAGAACCCCAAAGGATCCGGTGTATCCTTTGGTGACGGAGTATGCGGACGTGGTGAATAAACACCCACCGACCCCAGCTCCCACCGGATCGAGGCGTACGGCACGAGATTGATCTCGTGCCCGGCACAAAGTATTGTGTCACGAGGCAATGGCCTCTCCCGCGCGAACAGTGCGAGGTCATTGATGCCTTCTTCGCCGCGAAAGCGAAGGCAGGCATGGTGCGGGAGTCGAAATCCCCGCACTCGACGCCGACTTTCTGCGTTCGTAAGCCGAACGGAAAGTGGCGTCTGGTTCACGCTTATAACAAGCTGAGCAACGCAACGGTGCCGGCCCAAACACCGATCCCACGAAAGGATGTGTTGTTGAACAACATGGCCGGGAGCGTACTGTACAGTGCGCTGGATTTGGTAGACGGATACTACCAAATCCTGATGCGAGAGAGTGACATCCCGCTCACCGCGGTAAGCACTCCAAGCGGCATGCTTTGGGAGTGGCTCGTCATGCCGCAGGGCTTGTCTAACGCCCCGGCGACGTTCAATCGCCTGGTGACGCAATTGTTCCGCCCTTTGCGTACCTTCGTACAGACGTACTTCGACGACATTTTCGTCCATAGCCGTGCCGAGGGAGGCAAGACGGCCATGGAGGTGCATCTAGGACACCTCCGTCGAGTGTTGGACGTGATGCGAGCGAACAAGCTCTACGCCAACATCGACAAGTGCGTTTTCGCGTCACCAGAGATCAAAGTTCTCGGTTGCTTCGTAAGCAACGTGGGCGTTCGGGCTGACCCAGACAAGGTCAAGGCCATAGCAGCATGGCCGACGCCCCGATCCCAGAAGGATCTTCGAAAGTGGTTGGGTTG